AGGTTCACCCTGAACCGCTTGCCAGCCAATCGCAGGGCACATGCCGACAAACAACCATTTGCGCTCACAATTACGCCTAGGAACAATTTAGAGCAGGTGTGTCAAACTCATTTTTTGTTGCGGGCCACTTCGGAGTTACAGCTGCCCTCAGAGGGCCGGTGCAAAATCTCAACGTTATTTATTACCCATGACAATTTGACATTTCAGTAAAGATTTCAGCAAGAATCATGATAGTTGACACACACGATTTGCTCCCGCGGGCCACATAAAATGATGTGGGGGGCCGGCTCTGGCCCCCGGGCCTTGACTATGACACATCGGATTTAGAGCATTCAATCAACCTGCCGTGCATGTTTTTAGAATGTGGGAGGAAGCCAAAGTACCCAGAGAAAACCCACGCATCCACGGGGACAACGTACAAACGCCACACAGTAAGGCCAGAGCCTGATTCGAACCCTCGGCCTCTGTGCTGCAAAGTGGACATGCTTATCAGTTGACCACGATACCGACCAGGGCTGTCCCTTTCAAATATGATTCACTTACTCCAATGAATTACTTGAATAGTCCGAAAAAAACTTTCATTTGCTATCAAGTGTCTGACAAAATCATTTCCCCCATCCCTGCAAATTCACCCAGTCTGGTCGTTTATTAGCTTTTGTTTCGTGACAAAAGGAACACGAACTCAACCACAATTGAGCAACATTATTTCAAAGGCATTGATGTTGCCCTCACTCAACCTTTTGGTGATCATTCGGTTCCTTGTCAATTCATTTGAAAATTGATTTGTTGCAGATGAACTGATTGATTTTGCTCCCTCGATTTCTGTGTGACAACACACAAATGCAACTGTTCTTTTCCATCCCCGAGGTCTATCTCGAGTGGGCTTTAGCGGCCTGTTCAAAAGGCTTTCCAGCACACAGGATCAATAACGGGCAGTGTAATCGGGAGTGCAACAATGCCGCCTGCCAATGGGACGGAGGAGACTGCAAAGGTGGCGTTCAACAACAGTTGTGGTGGGCAACTTGATTGTTCTGCCTTGAAATAAATTGTTGATCTTTTTGGACTTTTGAAGTCAGAAACCGCAGGTCCATAAGCAGCGCTGGTGATGGTGGTTTATTTCAAGCTCACAAGACTCAGTCAAACAGCCAGAAGTCAAGCCTGACACAAAAACCAGCAAACTCCTCCAATGAGAATGAGGCTCCTTTGGGGATGACGCTCCAAGAGTTTGTCCCATCTGACAAGGGGTTCCTCAAATACTTTCAAGAACCGCTTGAGGTAAGTACGACTGTACTGTCAAGCATTAACAGTTCATTGGCATATGGGGATGAATACTGAACAGTATTTTACGTTTTCATGACAGTGCAGTTTCCTTTTCGTATAACAGGATGATGATCGCCGACAAAGAGCACGAACGTGTGAGACGAATGGTGCCATGTTTGGCCGAAAGTTGCAAAACACTTTTTCTGAGGGACTGCGACATGTCAACAGGCTGGACAATCTCAAGTTTGGCGGCATGATCCGAAAGGCGATCTCACAGGCGCCCTATATGATTGACAAGCTTGTGATATAGGAGCTGCAGGACGCGTGAGTGCTCACAAGTTGTAGTCTCAAGCCTTCTTGAGCGCTGACCGCTGAGGATACCTTGCTCGTATTTCTGCAGATTCCCAGAAGAATTTCGCAAGACCTCAAGCCACCGTTGGCGTCAATCAGACGGCATGCAATATGCCTTTTCCTACTTTTATTTCCTGATGAGCGTCAAGCAGCAGGCTAACATCTCAAACGTCTGTTCATGAGACATTGAGAGGCCAAAAGTAATTTGGATTGAATGAGTCATCCGTTCTTCTGTGGTTTCTTCTAGGATTTGACGAGGTTGAAGAATCAGTTGATCAACTGCTCAAAAACTCTTCCAAATGACGTCAGGGAGCTGAAACCCAACCAGGAGGTCTACCATGACCAAAAGATGGTCGGCATTTCAGGTCATAAGAAAAACCCTAAATTAGCAGTTACTCGCCTGTCCAAATAAAATTTCAGCCCATGATAATAATTCAATGGTTTCCTCGTCTACAGTCTGGGGTCACTAAAGAACTCCTCATGAACTGCAATGATCACATTTGCAGTTCCTTTCCAGACCAGAAAAAGTACCGGTACAAGTGAGAGTTCCTCCGACAATGTGTTGAGATCAACATCACCACGTTTCTTTTGCTGACAAGTCAACTTACCAACAGGTATCAGGTCATGTGGAAGGAGGAGATACATTTCAAATTGCTTCACAATGACGTGGCTGAGGCAGATCGCATATTTGATGACGTTCGTAAACGACCAAGGTAAGAAGAACACTAAAAGTATTCAAAAGCAATTCAGTTCTTGGCTTTGGAATGAATCGCTTCTGCACTTACTCCAACAGGAAGTTCATCTATATAAACGATGACCTTGACCACACCCAAAGCACTGCTCAGCAAGTGCAAACAAAGTTGGTGAAATTTTACCAATCCATGTTCCCGCGGCCGTCCCAGTTTGAGCTCCCCAAAGGCACGTCGAACAGGTTCCTGCACATGGAAAATGTTGAATTATGCAAGATATCAAAAAACTGCAAACGTGCACATGGGTGCGCATGTATCTAGCATTAAGGTCCCAGTCGATCAAGGTCGGTGGCACGGATGTGACCCAACTGAGGGACTTTAGGGTGGCCAAAGAGCAGTTGAGGGAGGAACAAGGACCGCTGGCCAAAGTCAACAGATTCGGACGACTCGGGTGTGAAGGCCAGTCGGCCACCGTGCTACCCTCGACTCATTCCTCTGTCTAATGCCCAACAAATCATGTTCATCAAGATAGTAATTGTTGAAAAAAAAACCTCATCAGTGATTTTCAATTAAAGTAACATTTAAAGGAGAGTGGCTGAAAACTTACCGTTGTGACAGTGCTCTCGTTGAAATGTAATTATGTATTGTCTTTTGTGGAGTGATATTTCAAATTGTCAAATTCAAATGTCTTCAAATAACCAACGCCTATTTTTGCACACCACTTCATTTGCCTTTTTATCTTGTTGTTTCACAAGTAGAAACAATAGTGCGGGTGTGACTGCTGTACACAAAGTGTTAAAAAAGTCTGAATTCAAACCGACGATGTCATCTCAAGACACGTCAGCGCCTGATGTGAGCCCCCATACACGCAGATTGTGTAAGAGTGGAGTCGGAACCGGTCCGACCGGTTTCATGAGCTTTTTGGATTCCCGCAATGTATGCAGATAATTGTACATCACTCCATTGCAGGTGCAAATTAATTTTGGAAAGGTGTGCCAAGTTCCTGTCTCACGTTGTGCTTCACGAAGCGCCAGCAAGTGACAGAGAACCGGATCACAACCCTGCCACAAACAGCACAAACTATCGGCGGCTTCACAGGTAGGCAAGGGGTGGCTGCTGCCACCTTCACCAAATGCCTTGCCACCCCAGCTGCCACCACTATCGTTGGCCGTGAATCTATCAATATGAAATGTTTATTTAAAAAAAAAATCGTTACATTTTCTCCATAGTGTTCATAAAAAGTATGTTGAGAATTCACTCTCAGTCAGTCAATGTCCCTCCCCGCCCCCGCTTTTGAGAAGAAATGGTTGCTTCCTACTGAGCCACCCAAAAAAAAACAACAATAAACAAGTCAGGTGCATGTTGACTTGAGCATCCCAGGCACAAACAGTCAGGTATGTAAGAAAATATTTGAGATTGCTCTCATTTTAATATGTTCAACGGGTCTGTCTAGTGTGACAATTTAAGTGAAAGTTAGTGTGTCGCAGTGTCTTTTGGTGTTGAATGAGGCGCTGTGGCAGGTGTAATGTAATCCATCCTACATCCACATCCAACATCCACTTTTGCTGCCTGGGGAGACGAATGAAATGCTCACGGTGAAATGCTTGTCAGAAATGTGTCTGTTCAGTTCAGACGTATCCAACGATGTGCTCTGTCAGGACTCATGGCAGGCGGCCGAAAGGTACGCAGGCTATTTCGTAGGCTGCCGTACATCTGTCTTCGTCGCCGATACAAAATCGTAGCCTGCTGTGCAGCCCTCATTCTCGTGATGCTGCGCCTTCATCACATGGCAGAGGTGAGTCGCCTCTGGCTTCGTTGGCCCAAAATGTCTGTGTCAATTTATTTGAAGGCAAGTTGCCGAAAACTTTCGTGGTGACCAGCGCTCTCGGCAGTTTCAACAATCTGCATATAATGATGATGATTTGCGGTGGAAGGATATTTGCAAAGTAATTTTTCAAGAGACATTTGTTCAAGAGACATTTTCAAGAGACACCAAAGCAAAATGAGTCGAAACATTCCGAGATGAAACGTAATGTTGCTGAAGTCTGTGAAAACTTTCAAAATTGACATTAAAAAAAGTACTCGACAGTTGAACACCAGCTAATCTGCTGCATTTTACAAGTGAGTAGAGGCGATTAAAGTGCATGAAATCACACGGACGATGTCATCACAATGCAAGTCGTCACCAGACGTTACTCTCATGTGTGCAGCGAGAGAAACTGCAGAGTGAGGACTTGTCTCACCAGTTGAATGAGGTTCCCGAAGAAGACAAGAAGGTGGATAAATGTACATCATTCCACAGCAGGTGAGGAATCAGCCCACGGCGTTTTCTCAACTCCACTGAATAGCGCATGTCACCAACAATGTCAGCAAGTGCTGTCAAGATGAACAACAAATATCAACCACAAGAGGAGCTCCCTTCACATTGACATTGTCCGAGTTGCTCGATTTCTTCTCCTCTGGCAGAGAGTGTACACCCATTCCCATCGATCTGGTGTACACGTGGGTGAATGGCACAGACGTGAGCCTGCAGAGGGACCTGATGGTGGCCAAAAAGCAACTGGATGCAGAAGAAGCTCTTCTGAGGTAGGTGAGGAGTGCAAAAGCCCTTGATCAGAACCCCACAATCACTCAAGACATGTATGCACCCCTGGAAGAGGTTCATGAAAAATGGAAAAAAATAGCGGATAAGTGCGTAACCTGTAAAACCAAAGGACGGACCGGGCCGCCTAGGGAAGCAGCTGGACAAAGGAACAACGAAACTGTGCTGAAGTCTGATGGGCCAGCCACGGTCCCCGTGCTCTGCGTCAAACCCCCCGGGGAACCCTGAATATGAGCCTGCCCAAGAGTGTCGAGCGTAAAGTATTTACAGAATCCATTGTGGATGAGAAGACATTCCTGGAAATTGGACCGGCGGGCAATACTGATTTTTCAATTTGTCCTTGCCTAGATCAAGCTTTTCACTGGGTCTAAACTTCATGGGGAGAGAGAATAACAGATGTTCTTTCTTGTTTCTAGTGTGAAGCCAGAATGCCCGCTGTCTCAATGCATCGTGGCACCAATGGTGGCGCTTAATCCTGGCCTTCCGGCCAACATGACCACTCGAGAGCTACCCTCGGTCTTGCCCTCCTTCTCGCCTGCCAAGGCCCTGCTGCAGTTTACCAAACCACTGCAACCATCCAACACTGTCTCCGTGGTCGTATTCCATTCACGAGCTGACGGTAAATCTCTGCATCAGGCTGATGTGGGCCAAGAAATATTCATGCTAAATTTACACCACAGCCGATGTTCATGTCGTTTCTCTTCTTGGTTGTTTGTCTTCCAGCTGAAAAGGCCTTGGCAGGCACGCTCAAAATCAAGAAATTCTCAATCTCCAAATGCTACCTGGTGAATGTTGATTCTCGTGGACGTTCTCCTGAGCTTATGTCGTGTCTCAGCATGGCATCACTGCATGGCTGTTATGTTGTGTTTTCCAGACGACAGACAAAGAGGCGCCAGGTCTGATCCAAATGGAGACCTTGGCCTACCTGACTGGCTTCCCGCAGTCCTACAAAGTGTCAGAGATGCTGCGAGGCAAATTGTCGCCCACCGTAAAGAGCAGGATCACTGCGGTGAAGTTTGTTTCAAATGTGGGGTCGTTTTCTGACCAAGAACGTGACAGATGTGCTTGTCTGGCAATGTGTTCCTCAGTTTGAGTTGTACCCGGACGCCGGCATCGCTCTGCTCTCCCTTAAAATGCCACAGGACTTCAGTTTTCTCCTGCAATTGGCCAAAAATAGTAGACTAAAACTGGATGGGAAGAAGCTGGCCATCAGCCCTGTATACTTGTTCTGGGACATGAGGGCCATCGCAGAGGTCGTACGCCACTACAACACCTGCTAATTGACATGATGTAACATGAGAACCTCTCTCACACTGTCGAACCTTTTTCCTTAGTTTTCACAGAAGCGGCCTGCCCCTCCCAAAAAAGAGACCTGGGACTGTCTCACAGCCAACCGCTTCGAGGAGAACGGTGCTCTCCTCTATTCCTTACGCTCCATGGAGAAACATGCGCCGTGGGTGCGACACGTCTACATCGTCACGAACGGGCAGATTCCGTCCTGGCTCAATCTGCAAAACCCCCGTGTTTCAATTGTCACACACAAGGTAGCATTGCAGCCTCTCGCACTTATTCCCCCAACTGCTCGGGCACGAAGCGGGGACGCATTTGGATCCACTACAACACCTGCAAATTGACGTGATGTATCATTAGAACCTCTCTCACACTGTCGAACCTTTTTCCTTAGTTTTCACAGAAGCGGCCTGCCCCTCCCAAAAAAGAGACCTGGGACTGTCTCACAGGGCCGTACCGCCATTCATCCATATACCCGTGATCTGATCCGGTTTTCCACATCAGGGTCGTAGGTATGCTGGAGCCGATCCCAGCGTTCTTTGGGCAGGTTCACCCTGAACCGCTTGCCAGCCAATCGCAGGGTACATACCGACAAACAACCATTCACGCTCACAATTACGCCTCGGAACAATTTAAAGCAGGGGTGTCAAACTCATTTTTTTGTTGCGGGCCACTTCGGAGTTACGGCTACCCTCAGAGGGCCGGTGCAAAATCTCAACGTTATTTACTACCCATGAAAATTTGACATTTCAGTCAAGATTTCAGCAAGAATCATAATAGTTGACACACACGATTTTCTCCCGCGGGCCACATAAAATGATGTGGGGGGCCGGATCTGGCCCACTGGCCTTGACTTTGACACGAGGGATTTAGAGCATGCAATCAACCTGCCGTGCATGTTTTTAGCATGTGGCAGGAAGCCAAAGTACCCAGAGAAAACCCACGCATCCACGGGGAGAACGTACAAACGCCACACAGTAAGGCCGGGGCCTGATTCGAACACTCGACCTCTGCGCTGCAAAGCGGACATGCTTATCAGTTGACCACAATACCGACCAGGGCTGTCCCTTTCAAATATGATTGACTTACTCCATTGAATTACTTGAATAGTCCGAAAACACTTTCATTTGCTGTCAAGTGTCTGACAAAATCATTTTCTCCATCCCTGTGAATTCACCCAGTCTGGACGTTTATTAGCTTTTATTTCATGATCAAAAGGAACACTAACTCAACCATAATTGAGCAACGTTATATCAAAGGCATTGATGTCGCCCTCACTCAACCTTTTGGTGATCATTCGGTTCCTTGAAAATCGATTTGTTGCTGATGAACTGATTGATTTTGCTTCCTCGATTTCTGTGTGACAACACACAAATGCAACTGTTCTCTTCCATCGCCGAGGTCTATCTCGAGTGGGCTTTAGCGGCTTGTTCAAAAGGCTGTCCAGCACACAGGATCAATAACGGGCAGTGTAATCGGGAGTGTAACAATGCCGCCTGCCAATGGGACGGAGGAGACTGCAAAGGTGGCGTTCAACAACAGTTGTGGTGCGCAACTTGATTGTTCTGCCTTGAAATAAATTGTACATATTTTTTGACTTTTGAAGTCAGAAACCGCAGGTCTATAAGCAACGCTGGTGATGGGGGTTTATTTCAAGCTCACAAGACTCAGTCAAACAGCCAGAAGTCAAGCCTGACACAATCACCAGCAAACTCCTAGAATGAGAATGAGGCTCCTTTGGGGATGACGCTCCAAGAGTTTGTCCCATCTGACAAGGGGTTCCTCAAATACTTTCAAGAACCGCTTGAGGTAAGTACGACTGTACTGTCAAGCATTAACAGTTCATTGGCATATGGGGATGAATACTGAACAGTATTTTACATTTTCATGACAGTGCAGTTTCCTTTTCGTATAACAGGAAGATGATCGCCGACAAAGAGCACTAACGTATGAGACGAATGGTGCCATGTTTGGCCGAAAGTTGCAAAACACTTTTTCTGAGGCACTGCAACATGACAACAGGCTGTTGTTCGAGGAATTTATGAGCAAAATTGTATCATGTTTAAAGTTTCATTTAATTTGGACACATCTAAACGTTTGGGTGCGTATCCAGCACCTCCAAATGCCTGTGCACAAAGGCGCCGGCCACCTGGCCGGAGGGCTGTTGAAGTCCACAATTAGCACGTCAATGCAGGTGGGCAATCACAGGGGAGGGGGTGAAACTCGGTCACAAAAGGGGAATGAATAATTTGGGAACAGCGGTTGAACAACAAAAGAGGAGTTGAGAACACCCGTCGCGCCCAGGCGACATTTGTCATCCGCAAAGTCTGCAACATGTTAATTCGATGTAGACCAGACAGAAAAGGCGCCAACGTACTGGTGGTTCAAGTTTAAAAAACAGGTAACCAATCACCACCGAGGGGCCGGACCGGGGGTGCGGTATGCAAATGTCGGGGGCAGTGTTTTCCTTGTATGTTACAATAAAAGTCGGAATTGGCGGGAAGGGAGCGAGAGACTGTGATCATCGGAGCAACTACCGTCGTTCGCTCTCAGAGATCCCCCTCCCGCTGATATTGAAGACAATTTTCCTGTGTGCCGAGTCATTTCTTTAACTTTGTCCGAGAAAATCTCTGACAGCTGTACAATCTCAAGTTTGGCGGCATTGTCCGATAAGGCGATCTCACACGCGCCCCTTATGATTGACAAGCTTGTGATGCAGGAGCTGCAGGACGCATGAGTGCTCACAAGTTGTAATCTCAAGCCTTCTTGAGCACTGACCGCTGAGGATACCTTGCTCGTATTTCTGCAGATTCCCAGAAGAATTTCGCAAGACCTCAAGCCACCGTTGGCGTCAATCAGACGGCATGCAATATGCCTTTTCCTACTTTTATTTCCTGATGAGCGTCAAGCAGCAGGCTAACATCTCAAACGTGTTTGGCCTTCTGTCTGAAAGTGAGATTGAAGCTCTGGCCGTGAAAATCTACAAGCAGCCATTCAAACCCGAGGTGGTCTGTTCATGAGACATTGAATGGCCAAAAGTAATTTGGATTGAATGAGTCATCCGTTATTCAGTGGTTACTTCTAGGACTTGATAAGGTTGAAGAATCAGTTGAATGACTGCTCAAAAACTCTTCCAAATGACGTCAGGGAGCTGAAACCCTACCGGGAGGTCTACCATGACCAAAAGATGGTCGACATTTCGGGTCATAAGAAAAACCCTAAATTAGCAGTTACTCACCTGTCCAAATAACATTTCATTCCATGATAATCATTCAATGGTTTCCTCGTCTACAGTCTCGGGTCACTAAAGAACTCATCATGAACTGCAAAGAGCCCATTCGCAGTACCTTTCCAGACCAGAAAAAGTACAAGTGAGAGTTCCTCCGACAATGTGTTGAGATCAACATCGCCACGTTTCTTTTGCTGACAAGTCAACTTCCCAACAGGTATCAAGTCATGGGGGAAGGAGGAGAGACATTTCAAATTGCTTCACAATGACGTGGCTGAGGGAGATCGCATATTTGATGACATTCGTAAACGACCAAGGTAATAAGAACCCTCAAAGCATTCAAAAGCAATTCAGTTCTTGGCTTTGGAATGAATCGCTTCTGCACTTATTCCAACAGGAAGTTCATCTGCATGAACAATGACCTTGACTACACCCAAAGCACTGCTCAGCAAGTGCAAAAAAAGTTGGTGAAATTTTACCAATCCATGTTTCAGCGGCCGTCCCAGTTTGAGCTCCCCAAAGGCACGTCCAACAGGTTCCTCCACATGGATGAGCACCTTTAAGGGATTGGGTTAGGTGTATCACGGTAGATTATGGTCATACCTGACATGTTCCTACAAATTAAATCAATGTGTGCAAGAGGAATTGCTAATTCTGTTGGTCCAGCAATTATTTGTGACAGATGAAAACTGTCAGTTTCCTGTTTAAATAGCTTTCTGAAGAACTTGATTTCCCAATTCACATTCACACCTACAATCACTATCATCTCTCTATGAAATGTTGAATTATGCTAGATATCAAAAAACTGCACACGCGCACATGGACGCGCGTGTATCTGGCATTAAGGTCCCAGTCGATCAAGGTCGGTGGCACGGATGTGACCCAACTGAGGGACTTTAGGGTGGCCAAAGAGCAGTTGAGGGAGGAACAAGGACCGCTGGCTAAAGTCAACAGATTCGGACGACTCGGGTGTGAAGGCCAGTCGGCCACCGTGCCACCCTCGACTCGTTCCTCTGTCTAATGCCCAACAAATCATGTTCATCAAGATAGTAATTGTTGAAAAAAAAAAACCTCATTAGTGATTTTCAATTAAAGAAACATTTAAAGGAGATGTGCTGAAAACTTACCGTTGTGACAGTGCTCTTGTTGAAATGTAATTATGTATTGTCTTTTGTGGAGTGATATTTCGAATTGTCAAATTCAAATGTCTTCAAATAACCAACGCCCCAAGGCTATTGTTGTCATATTTTTGCACACCACTTCATTTGCCGTTTTATCTTGTTGTTTCACAAGTAGAAACAATAGTGCGGGTGTGACTGCTGTACACAAAGTGTTAAAAAAGTCTGAATTCAAACCGACGATGTCATCTCAAGACACGTCAGCGCCTGATGTGAGCCCCCATACACGCAGATTGTGTAAGAGTGGAGTCGGAACCGGTCCGACCGGTTTCATGAGCTTTTTGGATTCCCGCAATGTATGCAGATAATTGTACATCACTCCATTGCAGATGCAAATTAATTTTGGAAATGTGTGCCAAGTTCCTGTCTCGCGTCAATGAAAAGTCACTTACACGTCGTCGTTTCGAATCCAATGATAGAAAACGGCGAAGTTAACACGTGTCTTCCGTCATGTCTTCCGTTGCATCGGGTGGACGCTGCGTGTATTTAAGCTCCCGCGGCCGTCCGTCTCCATCCGGGTTACGGATCGTGGAACTTCCGCTTAAGTAAGTTCCGGTAAAATGTAATATCGTAGTCAAAATGTTAATGCATAGGTTTTTATTCCGAATGAAGGAAATTCCTTTTCATAGAATTCCGGAGATGGGAATATTTACTGTACTGTGATTGAACTCAAGCAGGACAAAGTGGCCTGCATTACAGAAAACACACGTTGTCAAAAACGAGAAAAGGTACATGGGCAGGGTTCCCACTCTTTTCGTGAAACTATTTTCCAGGACATTTCCAGGACTTCCGGCGACTTGTCCAGGACTTTTTCATCTGCTGCAGTGCTGCTCTCTCACAGCGGTGAATCGATTCTCACCGGCGTTCAAAAGAAAGACTTGTTTGGTGAACATTAGAACACGGATATCAGATCTCACTTGAATGTTGACGTCTAAATGACTTTGATTGCTCAATAAACCAAGACGATGGAATGCAGCCGATTGACTCATGAGCTGCTGACGGGCTGGTGAGAGGCCAAACCCCATCTTCGCACCCATGACACCGCCACTGCTATCCGTGCACTCACAATAGTTAATTAGAACTGAATTCCAAATCAAGTTTTTCCTCATTCACATATTTTCCGTTGTTCCTGTTGGGGAAAAGGAAATACTGAATGAAATGCGTCGTCGTCACGATCGGAGCGGCTGCACTGAAACCAGAGATGAAGGCAAATGGAAACACAGGGAATATGGAATTTGATTGCTCGGTCGCATTCACGCAGGGTCGCTGTGCCGGCAAGAAGCAGACATGAAGCAGAAACACACAATGGCTAAATGTCGGTCGCCCAATGAAGGCAGCTGAAAACAGACACGAGGCAGAGAGGAGCAGAGAGAGCAAAACTTATTTTCCAAGACAACTCAAACTGTGCCAGGACAATCCCCCCCCCACCAAAAAAAAGAAGGAGCGGCGTGCTGTCAAGTGGCGATAAGCACAACATTTCATATCATTGAACTTAACCACCATTTTCAATTTGCAGGATGAACTTCATCGTTCAAATAGACAAAATGCGTGCATTTCCTGTTCCGCGGCGCAAATGCTTGTCGAGATTGTGGCGACTCATTGAACGGGAATCTGACACGGGACTCTTGCAAGAGCGACGGCAGGCGTCAACATGGGACTCGGGCAGCTTCAGAGGCTGCCGTACAGCCGTCTTTTTCACCCTTACGGAATCGTTGTCGACGGCGTGGGCCTCATTCTTTCGATACTTTCACTTCGCCAGGTCAGAGAGGTGAGTTGAATCTGGGTTGCTGTGCCCAAAGTGTCCCAATGTGATTTTTCAACTGAAGGAAATGCATCAAAGGAGAACGGGGAAGGTATTTTCACTTGCAATCTTGAGGTGACAAAAGGCCGTATGGCAACCACAAAATTAGGAGGAGGCAGATAGCAATGAGACTGATAATTAAAACTCATGCTCGTCGCTGGGCCACCCTTGCCAAAAGAAATAATCATGGTCAAATGCTTGTTGAGATTGTATACTCAGTCAAAACGTATCCAACAATGTGCTCTGTCAGGAATCATGGCCGGCTACTTGTGGCCATTTCGGAGGCTGCCATGCAGCTGTCTTCGTCGGCGATACATAGTCATCATCTCCTGTGCAGCCCTCATTCTCATGATGCTGCGCCTTAATCACAAGGCCGAAGTGAGTCGCCTCTGGCTTCTTTTGCCCGTAATGTCTCAATGTGAGATCAACAGTAAGAAATAAATTCATTGAAGGGTGAGTTGTTGAAAACCTACACAGTGACCAGAAATCTCAGTTGTTGGAGCAATCTACAATTCATATCATTACTATTAGAGGCGCTGAAAGTGTCGAAAATCACATGGACGATGTCATCACAATGCAAATCGTCACCACACGTTACTCTCATGCTTGCAGCTCGAGAAACAAACTCACCAGTCCAATGAGGTTTCCGAAGAAGACAAGAAGGTGGATATATGTACATCATTCCACAGCAGGTGAGGAATCAGCCCACGGTGTTTTCTCAACTCCACTGAATAGCAACAACAATGTCAGCGAGTGCTGTCAATATGATTCAACAAGTCAAACCACAAGAAGAGCTCCCTTCACATTGACAATTGCTCGATTTCTTCTCGTCTTGCAGAGATTGTACACCCATTCCCATTGATGTGGTGTACATTCACAAGCTGACGGTAAATCTCTGCATCAGGCTAATGTGGGCCAAGAAATATTCATGCTATATTTATGCCACGGCCAATGTTCATGTCGTGTCTCAAACAAGAACTTAAGAGGTGGTTGAGGAGAGGAGATCATGTATGCACCATATGCGGTGCATTAATAAATATGAACGACAGGGGATAACTGCGTAACCGGCAAAACCACAGGCCGGACAGGGCATTTGTGGACGTGGATGAGCAGACAATCCCCGAGGTCGGGGCTGGCCGAACCACGTTTCTTCTGCTGACAAGTCAACTTCTCAACAGGTATACGGTCATGGGGAAGGAGGAGATACATTTCAAATTGCTTCACAGTGACGTGGCTGAGGCGGATCGCATATTTGATGACGTTCGTCAACGACCAAGGTAAGAAGAACCCTTCAAGCATTCAAAAGCAATTCAGTTCCTGGCTTTGGAATGAATAGCTTCTGCACTTCTTCCAACAGGAAGTTTATCTGCATGAACGATGACCTTGACTACACCCAAAGTACTGCGAAGCAAGTGCAAAACAAGTTGGCGAAATTTTACCAATCCATGTTCCCGCGGCCGTCCCAGTTTGAGCTCCCCAAAGGCAAGTCCAACAGGTTCCTGCACATGGATGAGCATCTCTAAGGGTTCGGGCACGTAATGGTGGAAAGCAATGTTCACTCGAACATCCCATGCGACCGAGCATTCACAAAAACTCCCTGCGCATTCCTTGGACCTCCCTGGGTAACATCAGATAGTTGGCCAAACCTGTTAACAAAACCTGAGGTCATAATGTTATAAGTTACACAATGTCGAGGTATGTTCCAAAATGTCAAGCATATATGGTTTAAAATACATCCGGTCATGGGGAAGGAGGAGATACATTTCAAATTGCTTCACAGTGACGTGGCTGAGGCGGATCGCATATTTGATGACGTTCGTCAAAGACCAAGGTAAGAAGAACCCTTCAAGCATTCAAAAGCAATTCAGTTCCTGGCTTTGGAATGAATAGTTTCTGCACTTCTTCCAACAGGAAGTTTATCTGCATGAACGATGACCTTGACTACACCCAAAGCACTGCGAAGCAAGTGCAAAACAAGTTGGCGAAATTTTACCAATCCATGTTCCCGCGGCCGTCCCAGTTTGAGCTTCCCAAAGGCAAGTCCAACAGGTTCCTGCACATGGATGAGCATCTCTAAGGGTTCGGGTTAGGCGCGTAATGGTGGAAAGGAATGTTCACTCGAACATCCCATGTGACCGAGCATTCACAAAAACTCCTTGAGCATTCGTTGGACCTCACTGGGTAACATCAGATAGTTGGCCAAAACCTGTTGGCAAAACCTGAGGTCATACTGTAAAAAAGAGACCTGGGACTGTCTCACAGCCAACCGCTTCGAGGAGAACGGTGCTCTCCTCTATTCCTTACGCTCCATGGAGAAACATGCGCCGTGGGTGCGACACGTCTACATCGTCACGAACGGGCAGATTCCATCCTGGCTCAACCTGCAAAACCCCCGCATTTCAATTGTCTCACACACAAGGTGGCATTGCAGCCTCTCGCACTTATACCCCCAACTTCGTGGGCAGGAAGCAGGGACGTGTGAGGATGACTTCTGTCAAATGTACAGGAACTGGATCTCCTCTGAATTTCAGGAAATCTTCCTGAACATGAGCCATCTCCCCAACTTCAACTCGCACGCTATTGAAAGCCACCTTCATCGCATCCCCGGCATCTCGCAAAAGTTCCTTTACCTCAACGATGACATGATGTTTGGCAAAGACGCATGGCTGGATGACTTCTACACCCCAACCGATGGGCAGAAAGTAATAAAAATAGACGAGCATCATCTTTGAGCATCAAATGGATATCAATTAATTTTGACACCTCTTTTTCAAACCAATACAACTGTCCTCTGATTTCCCTGCAGGTCTATCTCGACTGGCCTTTAGCCGCTTGTTCAAAAGGCTGTCCGGCAAACTGGATCAACAACGGGCAGTGTCATCGGGAGTGCAACAATGCCGCTTGTCAATGGGACGGAGGCTTGTCAATCCTGGGCCCTATTCTCGTGCCGCACAATGGGATGCATCTGCCTTTCAAGACATTGCACACGTTTTTGGACTTTTGAAGGAAGAAACCGCATGTCAAAAAGAAGTGCTCGTGATGGTGATCTACCTCAAGCTAAGAAGACTCAGGCAACCAGCCAGAAGTCAAGCCTGACACAAAACCCACCGAGCTTCTTCTCAAACGAGAATGAGAACAGAGATCCCCATATCCAGAGCGAACAGCATGGGGAGAAAAAACAGATCAACACGGAAGCGGTTGACTGGAAAACTCCTTTGGAGATGAAGCTCCAACAGTTTGTTTCTTCTTTCAAGGGATTCCTCAAATACTTTCAAGAACTACTTGAGGTAAGTGCGACCTATTCTAACTTTGTATCATGCCATCTGAAGTGGCATCCTTTACTTTTGATGTAAAAGGAAGATGATCATCTACAAAGAGCGCGAAGAGAGCAGAGGAAGCTGAAGATCAGTTTTACTGCCACACTACGATACGTCAACAGGCTGTACAACCTCAAGTTTGGCGGCATGATCCGAAAAGCGATTGCACACGCGCCCTATTTGATTGACAAACTTGTGATGCAGGAACTGCAGGACACGTGAGTGCTAGCGAGTTGTCATCTCAGGCCTTCTTGAGCGCTGACTGCTGAGGGTACCTTGCTGTTATTTCTGTAGATTCCCAGAAGAATTTCGCAAGACCTCAAGCCACCGTTGGCGTCAATCAGACGGCATGCAATATGCCTTTTCCTACTTTTATTTCCTGATGAGCGTTAAGCAGCAGGCTAACATCTCAAAAGTGTTTGACGCTGCTGACAAGGACCACTCTGGCGTTCTGTCTGATAGCGAGATTCAAGCTTTGGCCACAAGCATCCATCAGCAGCCGCTCAAACCCAAGGTGGTTTGTTCATGAGACATTGAGTGAAAACATGGACCAAAAGTAACTTCGATTGAATGAGTCATCCATTATTCTGTGGTTACTTCTAGGACTTGACGAGGTTGAAAAATCAGTTGATCGACTGCTCAAAAACTCTTCCAAATGACGTCAGGGAGCTGGAACCCAGTCAGGAGGTCTTCCGTGACCAAAAGATGGTGGGCATTTCGAGTCATACGAAAAACCCTAATTTAGTACTTACTTCCCTGTCCAAATAACATTTCAGTCCATGATGATCATTCAATGGTTTCTTCATCTACAGTCTCAGGTCACTAAAGAACTTATCATGAACTGCAAACCTATCATAGATCGCATTCGCAGTACCTTTCCAGACCAGAAGAAGTACAAGTGAGAGCTCCTCCGACAATGTATTGAGAGCAATATCACCACGTTTCTTCTGCTGACAAGTCAACTTCTCAACAGGTATACGGTCATGGGGAAGGAGGAGATACATTTCAAATTGCTTCACAGTGACGTGGCTGAGGCGGATCGCATATTTGATGACGTTCGTCAACGACCAAGGTAAGAAGAACCCTTCAAGCATTCAAAAGCAATTCAGTTCCTGGCTTTTTTTTATTTCCTGATGAGCGTTAAGCAGCAGGCTAACATCTCAAAAGTGTTTGACGCTGCTGACAAGGACCACTCTGGCGTTCTGTCTGATAGCGAGATTCAAGCTTTGGCCACAAGCATCCATCAGCAGCCGCTCAAACCCAAGGTGGTTTGTTCATGAGACATTGAGTGAAAACATGGACCAAAAGTAACTTCGATTGAATGAGTCATCCATTATTCTGTGGTTACTTCTAGGACTTGACGAGGTTGAAAAATCAGTTGATCGACTGCTCAAAAACTCTTCCAAATGACGTCAGGGAGCTGGAACCCAGTCAGGAGGTCTTCCGTGACCAAAAGATGGTGGGCATTTCGAGTCATACGGAAAACCCTAATTTAGTACTTACTCCCCTGTCCAAATAACATTTCAGTCCATGATGATCATTCAATGGTTTCTTCATCTACAGTCTCAGGTCACTAAAGAACTCATCATGAACTGCAAACCTATCATAGATCGCATTCGCAGTACCTTTCCAGACCAGAAGAAGTACAAGTGAGAGCTCCTCCGACAATGTATTGAGAGCAATATCACCACGTTTCTTCTGCTGACAAGTCAACTTCTCAACAGGTATACGGTCATGGGGAAGGAAGAGATACATTTCAAATTGCTTCACAGTGACGTGGCTGAGGCGGATCGCATATTTGATGACGTTCGTCAACGACCAAGGTAAGAAGAACCCTTCAAGCATTCAAAAGCAATTCAGTTCCTGGCTTTGGAATGAATAGCTTCTGCACTTCTTCTAACAGGAAGTTTATCTGCATGAACGATGACCTTGACTACACCCAAAGCACTGCGAAGCAAGTGCAAAACAAGTTGGCGAAATTTTACCAATCCATGTTCCCGCGGCCGTCCCAGTTTGAGCTACCCGAAGGCAAGTCCAACAGGTTCCTGCACATGGATGAGCATCTCTAAGGGTTCGGGCACGTAATGGTGGAAAGCAATGTTCACTCGAACATCCCATGGGACCGAGCATTCACAAAAACTCCCTGAGCATTCCTTGGACCTCACTGGGTAACATCAGATAGTTGGCCAAACCTGTTGACAAAACCTGAGGTCATAATGTTATAAGTTACACAATGTCGAGGTATGTTCCAAAATGTCAAGCATATATGGTTTAAAATACATCCTCCAAAATCTATATTCAAAGATCTTGTCACAGGCATCACACAGGGTTCAATCTTGGGTCCTATTCTGTTCTGTCTTTTTATAAATGACATACCAATTGTGTGCCGAGGCTGCGAGATCATGATGGACGCAGATACGGTATTGCATTTTATTTTTTTTGTGATTTCTAAGATGTCTAAAATTTTCAAGTGTAAATTGAAGGACTGTATGGTTTGTTTCTTTTAATCCGAGTACCTGATTATATGATTCTAATTTTCAGTTCGATTTTCGAATACCAAAATATTTGATCACCGCAGCCCGAGTTGTGCCACATAAATGGATTACTCTGCCTTTAAATAAATTTTAAATACTTTTATTTGAATTGTGCAACAAGAAAGTGCAGGCAATTGTGATGGTCACTTTTCTCAAACTAACAAGACTCAGGCAACCAGCCGGAGGTCAAGGCCAACTCAAAAAACGGCAATCTGCTTCTTAAATGTGAAAATAAAACTTAATTCTGTTCGTTCTGTTTCGCACTGTGCTTTTTTCTTAAAATTTCTCATTTGATTTCATTGTCTCATCCATAAAACAAGTGCAAATTTCAAGAATCCTGGTACAAGATGCAAAGTCTCATCCAAACAGAAAGTACTCTCATCTTAATTGTCTTTATTTTTAGTTCGTACCTATGTGAAATAATTCAGACCATAAAATAATTGTGGTTGTGTGTCAAAGCAGCTGTTTGCCGGGGCGATATGCTGTGATTTGCATGATGCCATTAGTCGACTAATGGTGACTAGTCGATGAGCAAAATAATCGTTGATGGCAGCCCGAGTTAAGAATTGCTCTCCTACCATTCAGCATTTTTATGAATGCTATCATTTCAAGACGATGAGGCAACGGCAGTGTCGTCTTGTGTCTTTTCTCAGAGTCTCATCCAAACAGAAAGTACTCTCATCTTAATTGTCTTTATTTTTAGTTCGTACCTATCTGAAATAATTCAGACCATAAAATAATGATGGTTATGTGTCAGAGCAGCTGTGTGCTGGGGCGATATGCTGTGATTTGCATGATGCCATTAGTCGACTAATGGTGACTAGTCGATGAGCAAAATAATCGTTGATGGCAGCCCGAGTTAAGAATTGCTCTCCTACCATTCAGCATTTTTATGAATGCTATCATTTCAAGACGATGAGGCAACGGCAGTGTCGTCTTGTGTCTTTTCTCAGAAGCTCAATCATGTTCCAAACCTTTGGTCTAAAACAGGGGTGTCAAACTCATTTCACATTGTGGGACACATGCGGCCTCGGTGGATGTCAAGTGGGCCGGACCATTAAAATTGTCCATACTCTTCTATTAATAACCAAAGTAACATGTCTTTCCTTTGTTTTGGTCTAAAGAAGCACAAGAATATTTGGAAAATGTTGAAATTTAATGAACATATTTTTTACAAAACATTTCATGTAGCACCTTAGATTTCCTGAGACAAAGGTGCACTTTACTTATATAATTCACATATGCATTGCAACTGATCCCACTGATTGGACGAAGGCACAAAACTTTAACAAGTAATATGGTATTGAAAAAAATAGTAATACATTTGAAGATTAAACAAGATTTATCAAGAAGGGAATTTTCAAACCATTTACACATGTGCATATCAAATCTAAATTTAATCCCTGCCTACACCTTAGAAAGTAACGAGATTGCAATTAAATGTGTAAAGAATAAAGTATTCACATGTCCTTGACAGCGTCTGCTGTGTTGGGTCTGTCTCAATGACAGACTGAGACTGCTGTTGTCCATTCTTCTCTGGTCAAAACAGTGTGCCCCCTACCGGATACTCCATGAATTGCACCTTATTAAAAATATTCATTCCGTGTCTTTGCATTTTTTCACTTTTAAATGATCCTGCGGGCCTGATTGAACCTCCTGGGGGGCCGGTTCTGGCCCGCAGGCCGCATGTTTGACATCCATGGTCTAAAATATTTGCATTCGATTGCGAAGAAACGCAAGTTTTAGTTATTTATTTATTTATTTAACCCCACTTCCACTTGGGGGTTCGTTCCATTGTGTTTAAGTTTCGATGACGCGCACATCACGTAGTGAGTGATGCTGAAGATGGAGGAGGACCGTGACCAGAAGTGGAGACATTTTTTAGGAAGACGATCACGTGACGGTCGGTTTTGAAAAATGACATTTCTTCCCAGCTCCACGAGACTTAAGGTCACACCAGGACCGACCACCACGCAAGCTCCACGAGACTTAAGGTCACACCAGGACCGACCCGCGCGATTGCGCCTACGTGTTCTCTCGATCGCCGTCGACGCTGCACGCCACGTGGTGGTTCGCGCAAGGTTGGTGCTTCCTGCTCGTCTTTTTGGTGGTGTGGTCCTCGAGCACTTTCATTGTGATGTACGTGGTCGCGGTGTTTCGACACGACGTGGATGTGTTGTTCCTCTACATAAGGTGAGACAAGTGCCTCTTCGATGTCTCATTTACGTTCGCGTTTGCTCCGAAAAGTCGCCGTTGAAGCAAATCTTGACAAGCGCCTTTTAGTTTCGTTTTCCCCGCTGCGCCCCAAACTCCGCCAGCACTGCAAGTCTTACTTTCTCGCTTGAGATCATCTCATTATTGTTATTAACCATAATAAAAATAACCCACCCTTGGTGTCAGCATTATTATGGTTTTTAAGCCAGGATCTTATATTCTAGTGTGTGTGTGTGCGTGTGTGTGTGTGTGTGTGTGTGTGTGTGTGTATACGTCGTAACTGTGACGTGGCTATTTGATGCGTCTATTTTTATTTGGGATGAGGGGGGGAATCAGTTTGAAGATTTGGCTGTTGTAAACTTGCAGTGACACAGGAGCAAACCCCCCAGAGAGCTGCATATTTGGCATGATGACATTTGATTCTGCATGCGCAGGCATTCTACACGTACACGCACGCACCACGCTCTGCAATGTTCATCTTTACATCCCACCCCCCATTTTTATTTTGCATTCTGTGTCCTTGTATCACATCCCAATTTTATTTCCTCTTATGGTTTCCCATCCTTGAATATTTCAATAGGATTATTTAATGAGAAACCTATTTTGACATCTTACACTATTTTTGTTGAAGTGTGATAAAATGCATTTACTGGGGTTGGGTGTCATTACTTTTCGGCGAGGGGGGGGGGGCTGTTTTTTGATTCATTGTCAAGTGCAACTTCCTGTTCTGCGGTCTGCAACACTAAGTTGTCTGTCATAACATGTAATGTCTTGTTCGTCACACTTTGCTGAAAAACAAAGCAACAAGCGGTGATTCATCTTGAACATGCGCTCTTTTGTTACTTTCCACAAGCGACTCACTCCCACTTTTGGAGGAAAACGAAAGGCGACTGAAAGGCTGTGGCAAAAACGGCGCCTGCGTTTGTGCGTGTGTGTGTGTATGTGTGTATGCGTGCATAGGCATGTCCACAATCTACAGCAGGTTCAAGTTTGTGGAGAAGCTGTGCGAGGAGACAAGGGCAGTGAATCCACGGCTGAACAAGACAGCGCTGGCGCTGGGAATGCTCTCTTGCTTGGGAAATTGCGTGGTGGCCACATTTCAGGTGGAAGGACTTTATCGTCAACATCCATGCAACCAAACGCTGTGCCTTTGTCGGCTATGACAGTCACTTGTTTGGCTTTGATTGGCAGGAGACGACGATGACAACGGTTCACGACATTGGCGCCTTGCTCTTCTTTCTCACAGGCGTCCTCTACATCCTCCTGCAGTCCACCATTTCCAACCACGACTTCCCATACGGCTCGTCCTTGGCGGTGTGTCGGGCGCGGCTAGCTGTGGCTGTCCTTGCCTCGCTGGCTATCTTCCCGAGTATCCTCGTTTGTGGCTGTCAAGTCATCCTACACTTTTCGGATGAGATCACTTTGAAGCAAATGGAAAGAAAACGCTCTTGTCTTGAGCTATTTGTCACCCCCAGTTGAAGTTGAATAAGAAACTGATACAAAAAAAAAATGTATATTTAAACCCTGGGATGTGCAACCAAACCCTATAACTGCCATCGACTAGCTTATTGCTAACGTATAATCGCAAACGCTTTCGACGGGCTCACAGAAATTAGCATCAATGTCACGGCAAATGCACACTTTCAAACAACCGCTACGCCACGACGCAGCAACACAAACAAACTGAGCATACAACAATCCGCACAGGAGTACATTCTCTCTGCTTTGTTTACACAACTATTCCATTTAGTTGGGGACCTTCTCTGCTCCCCCCCCCCTACATCTGTTACATTGCATTTGCATGTGTTCCAGGAGAGCTCAGTACTGCCCAGCATGTTGAGGCACAATGCGGTGCTAGAACTGAAGATGCCCAACTTGAAATTCAGACTTGCCCGTAGAGCTGTGCAGGCGGGGGCCATGTTCGAACCATTTTGATCAATGACAATGTATTTCGAGCAACATGGCAACTGGGTCTTGCTGATATACAAACTCATGGTCTACAGTGGATAAGTTTTGAAAAGTTTGCCCTTGACAGCCGAAATCCCAAGCTGTCATTTGTGCATTTTTTGTCAAGCAAAAGGACCTGCACAGAGACGCTTTCTCGCACAGCTGTTTACCTTGCGGGTGAAGACCGAGATGCTATAGAGGAGAGCAAAGCACACTTGCCGGAGCATTTCACACACTGCTGCGCAGCCTCACATCCGTGGAGAGACTTTTGCACATTGCACCACTCTTGCGACATCATGGGGAAAAAAAAAACATTTTTTTACGAGAGGCGGACGCATGATCGATGAGGATTGTTGTCACATGGCGCTGAGTCACTTTTATTTTTATAGCTGTATCTGACTGAAAGTAGTCTAACACTTCATGTACTTATTTTGACATTTACACTACACCAAAATAGTTTAAGTGACATTTCAGCACTACAGTATAACCTTTTACAGGTGATCGTTTCATAACTTTTGGTGAATAGTGTAGAAGTTATGTCCTACTATAATTTCACAAGGAATTCATCAGTATTGCTGGAGAACATATCACAGTTACGCTGGTGAAAAAGGTTTGAAATGATGAAAAGTAGTCATTGGATTGTTAATTCAACACCCCTAACCAAGAATAAAGACACTTTTTTTTACATTAAAAAAATGGTTTGGGGTATTTTGTGTTTTGAAGTATTTTGTGAGAAACCATCTGTTGGTTTTGCACATGCACACAATTTCGTACAAAATCTTAAATCATGAACCGACTGGCCTTCACAACACGAGTTATTGCGAAATTTGTCGCGAACTTTGTCGCCCCCTCGTGGCACATACAAGACTAACACCAGAGTGGAAGAACATTGTCAGGGTTTTTACATTCTATATTTTTAAATACGAGTGTAGGTGCCAATTTGACATTGGTTTAATTTTGTGTATTCTATTTGCTGTTTACTATTAATATGTTCAATTGGCATATTTCCTAATTTAGTAGAAATAGTCGTCATTGTTATTTTATGCATCTCTGAGTGTTTCTTTTACAGAACTATGTGTTGTGACGTCACGCGACTGGCGAATGAAGACAGTGTGGAGAAGAAGGAGTCAGAGAGAGAGAGAGATGAGAACAGCTCAAGATTAGAAGCGATAGTTTTTTGACCATACAATACATACAATACAGCAAACGAATTAGACAAACTGAAGAGAGCATTTTTTGTATACTTTTTTTTCATAAACAGAAAATACAAAGAAGCCATTGTCATGTTGTTTGCGTTCAAGACTCGTCGTTGTCACGTTGCGTACTAGGCAGAAGGAGAGAGCTGCTTCGTACGCAACGGAGCGAACAAGAATAGGTGGATCCCCGAAATAGCAGGCACTGAACAACGTCTTGTCTAACAAATAATATTTATTACCAACGAAAAAACACCGTCAAAAGGAAAACAGAAAACGCTGGTCAAAACGAGAACCAGGAAATAATGTAACG